AAGTAAGGGGAAAGTGCGCTGGTCTCTCTCCCCCCTATATAGGTCAGAGACTAACACAATGCAATATACTTCACGAGAGTATGAACACACTAAGACTTTACATTATTATTAATATATATTTATATAGACCACACACACAAGGCAGGCGTAGACATCGGACAATAACAGAGTATATGGCGTGACAGTCTCCTTAATTTCATTTATATATTCAGCAGTACTTGTGTAGCAGGTAGCTTGGTCTCCCGACGTACAGGGATAATAGTGTAATTACCTACTGCAGAGAAATTTTACTGTTGAGTCTCCCTGTCCTAAGACTAAAGAGGTTGTGTGCGTACGATAAAGAGAACTAGATAAGGTAGCGCACTGTAGCGTACGCTCGTGAGAGTCTGATTGCGTGTGTAGTCTCTGACCTTATTAGGTGAGACGACGACCAGGGTAACCCTTACATTTACTACCGGTTTTCAAGTGTATAATGTTCCCTACGTGGCTTGTAACATTACGTATAATGTGTTTGTTGACTTATAACAAGAAGGTTGCGTAGTGTGTTAGAGTATGTGTGTACATGTGTGCGTGGATGCGTACACAGGGTGTGGTGGACGTGTGTGGGACAATGTTTAACTCCAGTGGGTGGTGGATGTCGAGATGTATTAGTAAATTTACCGGTGTCGGCAAACACTAGGAAGGAGTACAATGACGTACCGTTCAGTCGTTAACCCAGTAATCTTTGATTCTATAGTACGACATAACAAAATCTATGAATTTGAGTCATTCGTATGCTTATGTCTCTCCATTACATGCCGACAAGACAGTCTGAGTATCGAGTCCATAACTTACTGTGTATCGATATCGAAGACGTGCAGAGTCAGATTCATAGTGACATTTGTTGAAGTGACAATGAGGTCTCTCGGAGGAGCACCGAGCTATGAGCACGGCGCTACGACGTAATTCTCTTATCTCACGGGTAATTGTACCGCGCGGCAGTTAGGTAAGGGCCTGTAATGGCTCAGGCTCCTCGCTCTCCCTTAATCTCTTACCCTTTCCAACGTATTACTATAACTGTATCGGGAAGGGTAGTCTACGTGACCTACGGAGTAACCTGCCAGCAACGTCTTGGATAGACAGTCAACGTCTTTGTTACTTGCGCACGTGTCGATCTTCTGTTGGTACAGTCACCGTGGAGAGGGACTTTCACAGTTACTTCGTCCACTCGTCATCGACTGACGTACACACTTCCCGTATTAATCTTGTCGTGACTGTTCTCTTTTTTGAATTATCTGAGCCTTCTCAACAAATAACCGTTAGACTGGCGACTCAAGTAAGATCCAAGTGAACATACCGTATTCCGCTTACAAGTTGGTTACAATAATAAACTTTGACCTACAAATGTACACATTGTTTAATGGATATTGATCTGGTCCAATTCAACCTTGGCACTTCGGGTCCAGAGCGTGATCGTAAGTTATTATAGAATCCCATACTATAACCGAGTCTTGTCAGAGTATTATGTGTGCACGTGTGTAACTTACATAGTGTGAACAGTATAAGTACGTGTGTGTTTACCAAAGGCCAAGTGTATGTACACTGAGATCTTAAGTTATGTCTTGCTTCAACCACTGTTCTAACTGTGTGTATAACAAAACACAATGTAAGGGACTTGGATGGCTAGTATTTGGCAAGACACGTCGCCGTAGCAGACACGTACGCACCCCAACAAACTCTGAGGGACTGCGAGTGCTAGCACTGCTTAGTTAGATAGTGACGCGTTAACGCGTCTTTACAGAGGAGTTAAGATCTCGGTCAGTGTACTCGCGCGGGGGTGCTCCATCTAAAGGAACGCAAGTACGGATCGCGAAGTACATGCGGTAAAACGCGCAGGCCAAAAGTTTTATTTACAAGTATTAAAAGTAAGCATAGGACACCAAACCAACTGAGACCTGTCTGTCCACCGCATCTACACAAACACATACACACACTGTACCACACGCACCTACGCACTGTACAACACGCACCTACACACACCTACAAACTGTACCACACACACCTACAGCTCCTAAAGCATATAATCAGGCTACAGCCGTTGTGTATTTTATTATGTGAAGCACTAAATGGTTTTAGAAAAATATTGACTCTTTGTTTGTAGATATCTACTAAACTAAAGCATACAAATACAGAGAGTAATGTAGGCCTGTTATACTGAGTGATATATATTTTACACACTGCTCTGCTTTCTGCACGGACCTCACAGCTGTTCTCACTGTAAACAACATCACTGTCTCCTCCAGAGAGCCTCCTCGACGCTCGATCCTCGGTCCGCGATGTGCATTTAGAGAAATGAGATGCCCTTCAACATGGCGCGCCGAAAACCATTTCCGGGTCACTACCGGAGGACCGAGGAGTCGAGAAGGGGAAATTAGAGAAATGAGAAAGGTCCATAGATTGATATTCTGTATATATCCCCCCCCCCCAGGCTGCAGCAGGGAAGCTCTCATTGGACGGGTCGCTGCAGAACTCCAGCTGTGAGCTGCAGGAAACAATGAGACGCCTGGGCTCCAGCTCAGAAGATCGCCCCCGCCTCACCGGCACCCTCTCCTGCCTGAAGAGTGCCAATGAAGCAGGTGAGCCAGGGAGCTGCACTGCATGTGTGAAGGGCATATTTATAGGACATGCATGAATATAGATTAAAAAAAAAATAGTAATCGGGTAGATTTCTTTATTTTGTTCAATCTTAAGGGGTATGAGCTCAGTTCTATTTTCACTTGGTTTGATAGGGGAATGTTCAAAAATGTTGTTTATTTGGAAACTTGATTTACATTTGTAACATAATTACCAAAACTATGTACCAGCTAAGGGACCGTCAAAGCCCCAGGTTCATTTTGTGGCATTATAATAGGTTTTAGGGGGTATGATATGGGCTCAGAACAGTCTCATAATACACACATGCACACAGAAGGATTCACACTTGTATTTTTCAATGCACACACAAATGTGTTCCGTTTCATATACATGTAAATAAAATCAAAATACAGAAAAAAGTTTTAAATGTGTATTTTTGATCCACACATATTTGTTTTCCGTTTAAATTCTCTGAACCTGCAAACACAAAACGCTTTCCGTGCGCGGATCGCTGTGCATTCGTGTGTGGGTTTTTTGAGACTCCCCTGACACTCACCTGATTCGTACTTGTAATTTTTTCTATCTATAGCCAATCAGATGTCTCCTCAATTCTAAGCCAGTCACATGAGCGCGCCCCCACGAGGGTAGATTTCTTGCGTTCATGACGTAGCGCTTCATGTACGCATTTTGCGCTGTCCGGAGATGACAGGTCCATGGAGCCTGCAGGTACTAATCTCAGGACCGAAGGTCCGTAGTATAGTCGTCTTTATTTTTACGGTATTATTATTCTTTAGCAGTTTAACTTTGGAATGAAAACACTAGTTTCGTATAATTTTGTATTTAACATTTAAGAGTTTTGAGTACATCTTTCATTTGTTGTCCATTGGCCGAGCCACATATTTCCAAAGCTTTGTACTGATATCAATCTGTACCCTGATGACACCCAGCTGTTCGTAACCATTAAGGTTGGAGACAATGGAAATCTGAATGTCTTTTAGACCTCAAGAGCTGGACGCCACCAAAAGAAATAAATGAGATCTATATTACTTTGTTTTGTGCTAACATAGCTGGCAGTTTCTTTACATTTAAACATTTTAGTTTATTGTCTTTTCATTGTTTCTATATATTCTACTCTCTTATTTGTCATCTTTGACCTTCCAGGTGAGATGAGACGCAGCTCTGAGCCCCAACAGGACAGTGATGCCTTCTCTCCCTTTAGCTCCCCCTCTGGCTTTGTCAGCCCCTCCTCCCCCCTTCCACCAACCGGTGCCCACGGACGCTCCATCTCCATATCAGTGGTACCATGTTCAGGAGATCACAAACCTATCTCATTGGCTGAGGACGCGTTCCTGCCCAACACCCCTCCAGCCTCTCGAGCCTCGAAGGCACGCATTGCCCTGCCCTCCCAGACCCCCCCGCCAGCCTCCCGCAAACTGCTGCAGCTCCTCCCCAACATCACCCTGCCCAGGAGCAAGAGTCAGGAGTCCCAGCTGGCCAACCGCATCGAGGTTCCGGCTACACACAGGTGGGTCTAAGAGTTACTGCAGTCGTGTGTTTATGGTAGATCAGAGTCTCCTGTTTGAAATGTGCATTACCTTTCAGCTGCCAAATATCAAACAGAAATAAAAATAGTGGGAAAGAAGTCATGGAATTCAGGTATAGCCTCAGATATTTCAATTCTAATATTTGTGATCTCCAGAAGATGATATTTAAAAATGTTTTAGTCAGACATGCTGTCCTCAAGTCAATGAAGTGACCATTTGCGGCAAATGCGGCCACTTCAGCTTGTACTCTCACTTCCTGTCACATTTTACTTTCTATATTTCAATCAGGAGAGACAGTTTTGATGGAAGAATACATATGTATTGCCAAGGATACACAAATTACTGTAATGGTGTTTTGGCGATTAGGCCCCGTTGTGCTGGAGTATCGTTCGGGAGGGGAGAACCGATCCGATGAAATTCCCCGGGGTCTAGACACTGGTGGTGGTAAATGGATTGTTGGGTCGGTCTGAAGAGGAGTGGCTTAGCTTGACCCTGGATTCAGAGGGACAGGAGGTGAAAAGGGGGGGAGGAGGGTTGCGTCGAGTCACCTGAAATGACAGCTGTCAGAGGGGGAGAGCAGATTTTAAAGGTTTAGCAGAGCGCTATGATAGGCTTGTGAGAATAGAGCAAAGTGATTGGTTAAGCTGGTGAGTGACGCCCCGATCACTTGTAGAGAGGAGAGAGAGTAGTAACATAGAAATAGTAAATGAATGAGAAAAGAAGGTCTTCCTGGTTGAACTTACGCTGAGCTTCATTAAAGTCTCAAAACTTCCCAAAAAATACTCAAAAAATCTAAACAGATGCCAAACCTTGCTGTTCGGTATGAATTAAGAAAGCAGGATAAATTAATATATTTGACCATGAATCCCCCTGCTCAGATCCAGATTAAGGTAAACTTTTAATAAACCCCGAAATTCAGTTTTTCCCTCTCACAAGGATTTGATGCCTTGCTCAAGGACACCTCGGCAGTGCCCAGTAGGTGAACTGGTACATCTCAAAGTACCAGTCCACACTCCTATATTTTTTGGTCCGACAAGGACTTGAACCGGCAACCCTTCGGTTCCAAAAACAAGTCCCTGAGCTACTGCTGACCAAGGAAATCAACAATGTTTTTACCACAACTATATAAATATATAAACAAATATTTCTAGTTAATAAAAGTGTGGTCATCTGCCTAAAATGTCAGCTTTGCACACAAGACTTTTACATTACATTACCTACTTTTATCCAAAGCGACTTACAATAAGTGCAATAAACCACAGAGATTCAAACTAATGACAACAAGGACAGTGCTGACATATTTACTTCAAAAAGCAATATCATTGTAAGTGCTGGTGCATAAGTTATTTTTTTCCGCCAACGTATAAGTGAGACAGGTGGGTCTTCAGTATGCAACAGAAGATATGCAGACTCTCCGTTGTCCTGATATAAGGGGGAAGCTTCTTCCACCATTTGGGAGCCAGGGTAGCGAAGGACATGTCTTTGTTGGGGTGTACCTGGTTCCATTCATGCTGTCTATGGGCTTAACATTGTACATTTTTTGCCAATATGAGTTTATTAGCTTTTCTGTAATGACTACCCAAAGGACACACTTCAAATGTGTAGACCTACTACGTATAAAAACGTACGAACTACAAAATTGTCATTAAGTTGATAATCCTGTCTAACACAGTCTCCAATGCAGGACCTTCTGTGATTTGGCATTCATACACACACACAAATGAAGGGAAAATTATCAATATGTATCCCTGACTGTGGCACCAATGCTAGCGATGACGTGACAGTTGTGTATTCTCAGGATGAAGGACTGCTGTAGTAGTTGTTCGTTGCTCTCTGTGTTGCAGAGGCGGTAAGAGGAACAAAGTGTTGGGGGCTCTTCACATCAACGGGAACACTCCTGATGACTCGGCGCTGCGCTCCCCCCCGCTCTCTGCACGAACACCTGGCCCCGTCCCGGCCTCAGCCCCCTACATGATGCCCACCACCCCCACCCTGCTGGACAGTGAGTGTCCTTCACGGATCTGCTCTGGTTCCTCCTCTCTTTGTTCTGCTGTGATTCTGCTTCCTTTCCTTTGTGTTTCTGAAGCATTCTATGTTCTTCACAGATGTCTCCATGCACAGGGGTTCCCCTCAGACAATGAGGAGAGACATTGGCCTTGCTGTCACTCACAGGTCAGTGATCAACCCCCCCCCCCACTGTCCTGTTTAGAATAAACTATTTTATTTGACTAGGTTATATTAATTATGCTGTAGATTCTGTCAGTGGTTCGATACCAAGTTCATTGTGTCAATATGGTGACGTTTTGGGCAAGATGCTTAAAAAGGCATTATGCTTATTTTCAGGTTCATATTAGTAATGGTGTCTCCACTGGAACATTTCTCCATGCTTTAATGTTCAAAAAGCTCTTTATTGTTCTCATACTGCCTGTGCTGCAGCACCTCTTTTCACCCTCTTTCTGAAACCAGCCCAGTCTGCTCTGATTGGTTAGCTGGCGGACTCGGTTGTGATTGGTCAACCGCTTCAAGATGTGTCAGAAATGTCCCACCCCTAAGCCTATCACGTACAATGTATACAAGCACTAGCCAATAGAAGTGTGAGTGTTACATAGTGATGTCACTATGTTACGGTAGTCAACAAAGGAGTCTAATTGAGGCGTTTCAGGCAGGGGGGGAGTGTGTGGGAGAGAAACTCCCTCTGGAGGGAACACAGGGATTTTAACCTTTGCAGACCATTTACTTGCACAAAAACCCATATAACACAATACAGGAAAGGGACAACCCCCAAGAGCATAATATGGCCTCTTTAAGAGCAAACTTTATTGTGTGCAGGCTATTTTCCCAAAGCCAAAAATATATTTATATAGAGCTGACTGTGTGTGGTATTGCAGTCACTGAAGTAAAGGCTGAATTGGCATTAGGTTGGTTCAGCTGATTGTTTTCAAAGACCAAATGTTTTGTATTTTGTAGGTTTTCCACCAAGTCCTGGCTCTCCCAGACGTGCCAAGTGTGTCGCAAGAGCATGATGTTTGGCGTCAAGTGCAAACACTGCAAGTAAGAATCCTAAAAATAGCCCTGTCCCCCCCCCCCATACTCTGTTTGACTAATACTTCCAATTGCAATGGTCTCACGTCATAACCATCTGCTCACAGGTTAAAGTGCCACAACAAATGTACCAAAGAGGCTCCCTCCTGTCGGATATCATTTCTCACATGTAAGCATCACGCAACACCTTCTGTTTCTTCCATGTTTTCTTCTTTTGAAATGTAATTGTCAGGGAAAGTTATTTTTTTATTTGACGTGTATCTCAGCACATGTCGAACTGAATTGGACAGGTTGTTGCTTTATACAACTCTTACAAACTGACTATATTTAGTTTGATGGGAATATAGCTAAGAAGAGTTTCGCCTGTGTAAAGAGATTCTCAACGTTTCAGGAAAAAAGATTCTCTCTCTTTTTGTCCTGATCCATTTATATAAAAACCTGTCTGAAAATGAGCTGATCAGATTTCAGCCATTTGATGATGTCATAACGATGTTTTGGCTTGTGTAACCATTAGCCAATCCCCAACCAAGGTAACCTCCCCCACCTTATCACCTGAATCTCCTCCGAGTGCACCATTGTGTTCTTTTTAACCAAATATCTCTCAGAAGGGCGTGGGGAGGGGCTCCTTATTTTCATCTAAAGTAACAGCACTTTGGAAACAGGGCTGAAATAGAGGGGATTATGGGATGCTGCCATGATCTGTTTGGTGTTTGGAGCCAAACACTTCAGAGACATGTTTGTATATATCTGAGACCTATAATATATCCATGTAAAACAGTATAATAGGGGACCTTTAATATTCAATGTTATGTAATCAAACCAATGTTTTGATGTGATTTGAAGTGCCCAGGATGCGGAGGGCAGAGTCAGTGCCGTCAGATATCAATAACCGGATTGATCACACAGTAATGATCCCACTGCAGTTCGGCACTTTACCTAAGGCAATAACCAAAAGGGTAAGCAGTGCAAGCACATGAGCACACGTTTCTTTGACAATCTGTTGCTGTTCTCAAAGTTATTAAGTGTGTGTGTGTGTGTGTGTGTGTGTGTGTGTGTGTGTGTGTGTGTGTGTGTGTGTGTGTGTGTGTGTGGTGTGCAAGCAGGAGCACCCCCCCAGTTTGAGCCAGCTGGACTCCAGCAGTAACCCATCATCCGCCACCTCCTCCACACCTTCCTCCCCGGCACATTTCCAGCACAACAACCCCCCCAGTGTGAGCACCACCCCCCCATCCAACCCGTCACCACAGGCCTCCCGGGACAGCCGCTTCAACTTCCCAGGTCCTAACCTGTTGAGATGTATTCACCTGTCTGAAGCCTTTTAAACGTTTAGCATTGCACATCCTCCGTTCTGATTTAATAAAGTATGAAATGATGAATGTTGATTGATGTTCCCCCAGATGTTCCTGAGTCCACACACACTGCTGTTCAACATGCTGGAGGCTCCAGTCAGTCTGGGTAAGGGAAAGCAACACAGAAACCAGACTGGCTGATGTTAGCTCATCATACTTCATATAATAATTTTTAATTTAGTCTTTTATATATTCGGGGATCAATAAAGTATATATCCATCCTTCCATCCATCCATCTAATAAGACAATAGGAAATATCCAATGCATGTGCATTAATGTTAAAAAACATAAATCGGTCAGTGTATACACATTTGCTTTATTTATCCCAGAAGAAATGTGGTTTTGTGACGGATGCTCAATTTTTAAGTGAAATAGAAGAAGCAAAAATATTATTTTTAAAAATGTTAAACAAATATGAATAATAATATAAAGGTTTTTTATAAGTTTATGCAATAAATGATAACATAAAAATAAAGATATTTACATAACACAAGAAGTTATAGTAACATTTAGTTTTAATGCCACATTTACTTTTGGAGAATTAGAATACTTTATTAATCCCGAGGACATTGGGTTACTTGACAGTTGCTCCATTTTTAAATAAAATAAATCAAAGATAAATAAAATAGAGAAATCAATAAACATAAAAGGATTAATAAAAAATGTGCAATAAAAAAAGTAAAATATTCATATGAACACGTATATTACAACACATACAGTGGAGTATAGATATATGTATTAATGTTGCTATTTCCCTGTCTCTCTTTTCTCAGACTGTCGCAGGTGGCCTTCACTGACACACAGCTGTCAGCGACGCAGCGAGGGGGGGTGAGAACTGGCCCTCACTCACACAGTTACATTACCACAAACAGGAAGTGAAAATAATGACTTATTTGCTTGGGCGTTGTGGTTCACAGCACTTGCAAATGAACTGATGTAGAGCACATTACTTTGTTATGTCATATTAAGTGTTCTGTGAAGGAGCTGTGTCTCTGAGCCTGACCAACCGGAAGTCATGCCATCAAATACAATTTTAATACTAAAGCTTTACATTAAACATTATTTATAAAAAGATTATTACAGGACAATATATACATAGGCACAAAGTAAAGTAAATAATCAGAATTTTTTTTTTTACAAGTAGGTTTAAACGTAAGGAATTAGCTCTGCTTTATAATGGTGCATATATAAACACAGTAAGAAGAATTCATTAATTGAGTAAAACAAGATGCAAACATAGAACTATTATAAATCTATTTAATGAGACAAATTACTCTGAAAATATAATAAAATATGTACAGTATATCTGAATTTTAAATTGGAAGAGTTTTGAAATAGGTATCATTGCGAAGAAATGTGCAAACATTCACAATAATTCACAATATTCACAGTATTTTGTACTGTAAAAACTGGACTGTATTTGGTTTAACTTAAAATAATGATGTATATAATATTGTAATTTTATAAAATGATGAAATAAATAATTAAAATGTTGGTAGACACTAAACTGTACACCGGAAGAGAACACTTAGGATTGTTACATTGTACTCAAAGAGCCCATGCTGCTAATACTATGCCACTGTATAAACTGAAAGGTTGTTCTTCAACTTCCATTAGTTTTCTTTATATTTCTCACATTTATTTTTGTATGAGATCCTTTTCCCCCTCAAAGCACTTGATTACTCAACAGTCCATGGTCACTTCCATTATTGTGTTTTTTGTTTCAGGAGGAAGACTACCCAGCTAAAGATGAGGAAGCAGGCGAAGATGGCGACACAAACCAGAGCTTTCCCCCTGAAGAGGGGGATGCGGACGGGCTGGAGGACCTGCCTTCTTCCATCTGCCGCCGGGGGGCCGTTGGCCGCCGGAGGGGGCCGTTATCTCGTATGCCCAGCCATACCAGCGTCTACCTGCAGGAGTGGGACATCCCGTACGAGCAGCTGGAGCTGGGAGAGCTCATTGGCCAGGTGAACACACACACTAATGCTATTCCTCATTTCCTCAGAGTACTTATCTTAGTGCACTGCATGTCGTTCACTGTGAACAATTTAAACTGTGTAGTGTTGTCTCAAATTCAATATGTCTGCTGTCACCAGAACTGACATTTGCTGCTGATATCTACCAAGCTTCCTAGCTAGCTAGATACAACTCTGGGGAAAATTAAGGGACCACTTTGCTTTTACTATCTACATTTGTGTTATTTTATTCTATAAACTACTGACAACATTTATCTGTGTTGGAATTCAACAGACACTGGAATGGAATAGCTGCCATACATGTAGAGATTGAGATTTAAGAAAAAATGTGGAGCTGTCTCAGCTGTTTTCCCGAGCTGTAGCAATATGCAACGTTATTGTTCTGTGTACAGACTGCTCAATCAACCCTATACAATTAACTTTGGCCTCTGTTCAACACCAGTATTTTGAAAAAATCCACATATTAGAATATTATCTGGCATATTGCTGTGTTCACAGGAGCAAACATTAGCAATGGCTGGTTGTGCTACTTCGGTTAAGTAGCCAAGATTGTGGTCTTTGATAGCGAAAGTCTCCGGTGTTCCAGACATTGATGTGTGAAGAGATGTGGTCTGAGGCACGGCCCAGATCATTCTCATGACAATTGCTCAGTGGCTCATTTTTTTGTTTAAGAACACAAATACTTGGATCTTCCAACGTTTTCCCCATCCATGAAGCCGATAGAGACCGCACAGTTGTTTTTTCTTTCTCCAAGCCCTGCTGCCAATCCACTCCGTCACAGCCTGGTCTCGGCTCAGTGAAATGGAGCGGGAAAACAACTCAGACTCGGTTTTTAGCACATTTTACAACTTTAGGTCCAAATGAATGAATTAAGGCCTATTCCTATTGTGTGGTAGATTGACAGATGTATCTTCACCAATGTTAATCAATGAGAACAAGTAGTTCTGGGCCTAATGACGTCACATGACGGACAGGGATGTTGTAGAACCACCGTTTTGCCACTAAATTATCTTCAACAACTGGCTAACTTCCTGGGGGCTTGAAAACAAAACTTTTCTACGTTATGAGAGCACCATCAGCGCTCTCAGTGCACTGCATTTCCATTGTGCCGTACTTATGCACTCAAACTAGCCAATTCTAGTAGAGCTAAAGGTGTATTGAGACACAGGTAAGGTAAAGTAAGGTACCTTTATTCATACAGTATAGCACATTTTCAGAAACAAAAGCAATTCAAAGTGCTTTACATCAACATTAACACACAATAGGAAGACAAAAGAAATGAACAATAAATAAACACAATGGAATAAAAGATTCATAAAAACCATGCGTAAAAGAGATACAGAATAGTTGAAAAACAACGTTGTAAAAACAGTAGGTGTTGCAAGAAGTATAGGGATAAAACAAATGAAATGAGTTCTGGGTAAGCAGCTGTAAAAATTTATGTTTTTAGCCTTGACTTATAAGAACTGAGCGTTGGTGAAGACCTCAGGTGTTCCATTTGTGCGGTGCATTGCATGATACTACATGTAAGTACATATACAGAATAAATGTCATGTGGGTCTGACACAGCAGACACATTTTGACCCTGTGGTTGTCCAGGGGCGCTGGGGGAAGGTTCATAAGGGCCGCTGGCACGGGGAGGTGGCCATCCGCCTGGTGGAGGTGGACGGGAACAACCAGGACCACCTGAAGCTCTTCAAGAAGGAGGTGATGAACTACAGGCAGACCAGGCACGAGAACGTCATCCTGTTCATGGGCGCCTGCATGGCCCCCCCACACCTGGCCATCATCACCAGGTACAGCTGCTCTAGTTCCCAACACGACTCATGTATGGCAATATGTGTTCTTTGTAGGAGTACGTGTGATATGTTGTGTGTTTTAGTAACCATGTTGCCGTGTTTTTCCTGCAGCTTCTGTAAAGGTGTGACTCTATACTCTGTTGTAAGAGAACGAGGTCACCTGTTAGACATCAATAAGATCAGGCAGATTGCACAGGATATTGTAAAGGTAAGCAACCTGTCATTTGATTATCAATTTATGACGATTACCTATAATCTATGAATACTAAATGTCTCACTAAATATGTAACGGATGTGTCTCAGTTACAAATGAAACATTAGTATTTCTTTCTGTGCCTTTTTTAATTTAATGAAATACTTTTTGCAATGTTGAAAGTATATTGTAATAGCACATATATAACTGAATTATGCACTTTTCACAAGTATTACATGGATCAAATACTGCCATCACAATTGGTCCACACCTGTGCTAAAATAAAACAACTATTAATCCTTAAACCTTAATTGTAAGTATTTATTTTCTCTCAAAAAGACATGTCACAGTAGAGGAACACAAAACTAATATGAACCTGAAAATGAGCAGAATATGTCCCCTTTAAAGCCACTTTGTATTTTAACAAAACGATTCAGACTTTGTTGCCCAGCCAGTAATCCAATGAAAGAAAAAACTCTATAGTCACAAACAGTAACAAGAACCTTTGACATCCTTTTTGTCTCTATTACAGGGAATGGGTTATTTGCATGCCAAGGGAATAATTCACAAGGACCTGAAGTCCAAGAACGTGTTCTACGACACCAACAAGGTGGTCATCACAGACTTTGGCCTGTTTGGGATGTCAGGAGTGGTTCAGGAAGGCAGGTAGGAGAGACATGAAATGATCCGCTGTAATCTGTATCTCTATATCTAATGATCTGTACCTCTGGCAAACCAGTGTTCATTAGTAGTGTGTGTGTGTGTGTGTGTGTGTGTGTGTGTGTGTGTGTGTGTGTGTGTGTGTGTGTGTGTGTGTGTGTGTGTGTGTGTGTGTGTCAGATTATATAGGACATGGGTGTGTCGCTGCAGCACGTTAAACACTGACAGCTTTTTTAGAGAAACTTCTCTGGATGTTTCATGTTTATACAGCATGTCTATTACCAATAATCAC